TCGAATCCAGTCCAAAACCCCAGAATCCGGGTTCCGATTTGTGGACTCACTCTGCTCCAGATCCGGGGGATCCCCAGGGATCCGTCTGGATCTCCTTGGGGGATCCCCGAGATCTCACTCCTCTTTTCTCCCCACAGAAACCGGCAGCTCCTGTTTGGGTCTGGGTTTGAACCCGGATTCTTGGGGTCTGGCACCAGATTGGAATCCGGATTCGAATCGGGGTCCAGACCCCAAGAATCCGGGTTCGAATCGGGGAAATCCAGTTGGAGGAATCCAGAACAAGACCCCAAGGATCCGGGTTCGAATCCAGTACAAAACCCCGAGAATCCGGGTTTGAATCCAGTACAAAACCCCGAGAATCCGGGTTCGAATCCAGTACAAAACCCCAAGAATCCGGGTTCGAATCCAGTACAAAACCCCAGGAATCCGGGTTCGAATCCAGTACAAAACCCCAGGAATCCAGATTCGAATCCAGTACAAACCCCAAGAATCCGGGTTCGAATCCAGTACAAAACCCTGAGAATCCGGGTTCGAATCCAGTGGAAAACCCCAAGAATCCGGGTTCGAATCCCCGAGAATCCGGGTTCCGATTTGTGGAAAGAGACTCACTCTGCTCCAGATCCGGGGGATCCCTGGGGATCCGGCTGGATCTCCTTGGGGGATCCCCGAGATCTCACTCCTCTTTTCTCCCCACAGAAACCGGCAGCTCCTGTTTGGGTCTGGGTTTGAACCCGGATTCTTGGGGTCTGGCACCAGATTGGAATCCGGATTCGAATCGGGGTCCAAACCCCAAGAATCCGGGTTCGAATCGGGGAAATCCAGTTGGAGGAATCCAGAACAAGACCCCAAGAATCCGGGTTCGAATCGGGGAAATCCAGTTGGAGGAATCCAGAACAAGACCCCAAGGATCCGGGTTCGAATCCAGTACAAAACCCCAAGAATCCGGGTTCAAGTCCAGTACAAAACCCCGAGAATCCGGGTTCGAATCCGGTACAAAACCCCAAGAATCCGGGGTTCAAGTCCAGTACAAAACCCCGAGAATCCGGGTTCGAATCCAGTACAAAACCCCAAGAATGCAGGTTCGAATCCGGTGCAAAACCCCGAGAATCTGGGTTCGAATCCAGTGCAAAACCCCGAGAATCCGGGTTCGAATCCAGTACAAAACCCCGAGAATCCGGGTTCGAATCCGGGTACAAAACCCCGAGAATCCGGGTTCGAATCCGGTACAAAACCCCAAGAATCCGGGTTCGAATCCAGTACAAAACCCCAGGAATCCAGATTCGAATCCAGTACAAAACCCCAAGAATCCAGGTTCAAATCCAGAACGAAAGCCTGAGAATCCGGGTTCAAATCTGGAACAAGACCCCAAGAATCCAGGTTCGAATCTGGTGCAAAACCCCAAGAATCTGGGTTCAAATTGGTGAAAAGAGACCCAGTTTGATCCAGTTCGGATTCTTACTCCTCTTTTCTCCCCACAGAAACCGGCAGCTACACGTGCGAATTCTGCGGCAAGCAATACAAGTACTACACTCCCTACCAGGAACACGTCGCTCTTCACGCGCCGATCAGTGAGTAAACCGGATTCGCACCCGGGGCCGGCGGGCCGGATTTCCCCCTGGGGATCTGGGGGGCGGGATCCCAAGAATCCGGGTTCAAATCCAGATTGAATCCAGATTGAGACCCAATGAATCCCCACTCCTCTTTCCTCGAACCCGGGGCGAGGTCCCAAGGATGCGGCTTCGAATCCAGGTTCGGATCCAGAGCAAAACCTTGGGAATCCGGCTTCGAATCCGGAGTGAAACCCTGGGGTTCTGGGTTCGAATTTGGGGAGTGACCCCAAGAATCTGGGTTCGATTCTGGGGAAAGAGACGCCAGGAATCCGGGTTCGAATGCGGGGCAAAACCCAGGGAATTTGGGGTCAAATCCAGGGAATCCGGGTTCGAATCTGGGAAGAGACCCAATGAATCCGGGTTCAAATCCAGAATGAGACCCAATGAATCCGGGTTCAAATCCAGAATGAGACCCCAAGAATCCAGATTGAATCCAGATTGAACCGAATGAATCCGTGTTCGAATCTGGTGCAAAACCCCAAGAATCTGGGTTTAAATCTAGACCAAAACCCCAAGAATTCGGGTTCGAATCTGTGCAAGACCCAAGAATCCGGGTTTGAATCTAGGCCAAAACCCCAAGAAATCCGGGTTCGAATCTGGGAAAAGAGACGCCAGGAATCCGGGTTCGAATTCGGGGGCAAAACCCTGGGAATTTGGGGTCAAAACCCAGGGAATCCG